TATCTATCTATCTATCTATCTATCTATCTATCTATCTATCTATCCATCCATCTATCCATCCATCATCCATGTACCTATCCATCCATCCATCCATCCATCCATCCATCCATCTAGCTATCCATTCATCCAGCTATCCATCCATCTACCTATCCATCCAGCTATCCATCTATCCATCTTTCCATCTATCCATCTTTCCATCTATCCATCCATCCATCCATCCATCCATCCATCCATCCATCCATCCAGCTATCCATCCATCTACCTATCCATCCATCCATCCATCCATCTTTCCATCCATCCATCTTTCCATCTATCGATCCATCTATCTATCCATCCATCCATCTAGCTATCCATCCATCCAGCTATTCATCCATCTAGCTACCCATCCATCCAACTATCCATCCATCCATCTATCCAGCTATCTATCCATCCATCCATCTAGCTATCCATTCATCCAGCTATCCATCCATCTACCTATCCATCCAGCTATCCATCTATCCATCTTTCCATCTATCCATCTTTCCATCTATCCATCTATCCATCCATCCATCCATCCATCCATCCATCCATCCATCCATCCAGCTATCCATCCATCTACCTATCCATCCATCCATCCATCAATCTTTCCATCCATCCATCTTTCCATCTATCTATCCATCCATCTATCCATCAATCTTTCCATCCATCTATCCATCAATCTTTCCATCCATCCATCCATCCATCCATCATCAATCAATCTTTCCATCCATCAATCTTTCCATCTATCTATCCATCTATCTATCCATCCATCCAGCTACCCATCCATCCATCCATCCAGCTATCTATCCATCCATCCATCTAGCTATCCATTCATCCAGCTATCCATCCATCTACCTATCCATCCATCCATCAATCTTTCCATCCATCCATCTTTCCATCTATCTATCCATCCATCTATCCATCAATCTTTCCATCCATCTATCCATCAATCTTTCCATCCATCCATCCATCCATCAATCAATCTTTCCATCCATCCATCCATCAATCTTTCCATCTATCTATCCATCTATCTATCCATCCATCCAGCTACCCATCCATCCATCCATCCAGCTATCTATCCATCCATCCATCTAGCTATCCATTCATCCAGCTATCCATCCATCTACCTATCCATCCATCTATCCATCCATCCATCCATCAATCTTTCCATCTATCTATCCATCTATCTATCCATCCATCCAGCTACCCATCCATCCATCCATCCAGCTATCTATCCATCCATCCATCTAGCTATCCATTCATCCAGCTATCCATCCATCTACCTATCCATCCATCTATCCATCCATCTATCCATCCATCAATCTTTCCATCTATCTATCCAGCTATCTATCCATCCATCCATCCATCCAGCTATCTATCCATCCATCCATCCAGCTATCCATCCATCTAGCTATCCATCTATCCATCCATACATCTATCCATCCATACATCCATCTAGCTATCATCCACCCATCTAGCTATCCATCCATCCATCCATCTATCTATCCATCCATCTAGCTATCCATCCATCCATCCATCTAGCTATCCATCCATCCGGGTGACATGGAGCCTCAGTTGGTAGAGTAGATGCCTCTCAACAAGTAGGTTGCCAGATTGAATCCTGGCCGGGGACCTTTCTGAGTAGAGTTCACATGTTCTCTCCATGCATACATGGGTTTTCTCTGGGTTCTCGTKTCCTCCCACAGACCAAACACATGACTGTTAGGTTATGTGGTCCCTGGGTGAGACTGAACGGTTGTTTGTCTCTGTGGGACCCTGACTTGTGACGTGTCCAGGGTGTACCCCTGCTGGGCACCAGCGAGACTAAAAGGAAGAAGTGGGTAAAAGATGGTGGATGGAAGCTGATCGCTGTAATGTTTGTGCTTGTCTGTCTGTCTGTCTGAACGTGTCATGAACCACTGCACCAGCTTTACTCAAACTTTAGGAATCATTGGATGAACATGGGGCCACAGCTGACTGATGTTAAAAAGCACAAAAATGGCAGCTTTACAGATGCTGAACTAAGAGTGAGTGTGGTGGTAGCTGAGAGTCACCCTCCACACAGACTGAGCTCTAACAGATTGAGTAAAATCTCACACTTTCACAGTTTGACCAAAACGGCTACAACACCACCATTTTTCACTCTAAGATGATTTGAGTTTAAAACTCAGACATGAAAGCAGCAGGTGATGTGCGTTCCTTCAGCCTCACAAACCTTGGTCATTTCAACCGTTTGCACCAGCTTGTTTTTGCTCCCTGCATACATCATCTGCTGCTCTGGTCTGCAGCCTGTCAAACAGAAACAGGGATACATGTGTCTGAAGCTTCTGACATGGATTTAATGTCACCTGAAACAAACAGCAGAACTGGTCTGAACTGGTCTTACCTACTGGACTGGAGAAGATGAAGCAGAGAGGATAGGACACACGCCCATCATCATGTTGATACTTATAACTGTAGACCACGAATGTTTGTCACGCTAAGGGAAGTTAACATTTCAACATAATCATGTATTCGTGGAGAACCTGGAAATAAAAGATTAGTTTCAAACAAAAATCCATGAATTTTTCAAATGCAAACACAATTTCTATAACATTGGAACGTTGTGTGTAAAATGTAAATAAAAACAGAATACGATCACCAAAAGTCTGGGTCTCTCTGCTTAGGCTGCTGCCCTCGCGACCCCGGATAAGAGTGTAGGGGTCAACTCGAGTGAAGAAACAAGATTTACTGCCTCGAAGCAGGGCTCAGACAGGCCTGACGAGAGGACAGGAACTCTGTCACAAAATGGACTCTATTTAGGCCATGACAGGTCATTCTAACCGTGGAAGAGAGCCCCTCAGTTCTCTTAATCAGATAATGGACAGAACAATCTCTTCTGTTCGTGATTCATTTGTTGTT